TCTCCCTATATATGGGGGCGCGGCTTTGGGTTTCCTCACACCTCATTTTGACCCCGGAACTTCCTCTCCCTCAACTCTTGCACTCCCAAGCCCCCTCTGGTCAATATGTTTGGAAGAAGCGCTTCTAGAAAGAGAAGGGGCACTGCTTGGTGCTAGTAGTTCCGCAAGCACCGCCATCTCGGGACCCTTCCCGGCTTGCACCACAACACCAGGCCCGTCTTGAGAACATCCGGACCTACCAATGGCACCCCATGCTCAAGCTAGATTTCAACATCCTGGCTGAGTTCGGATGGGAAAGACGACGTCCGGGCCCATCTAGACGAGCATTGGATGGGGATTCCTGTTGCACCCACCACAGACACATGTGTACCGCAAGCGAGTCGCTGGAATTTTTAGCCTCTGTCTCCTACTCAGAGAGTCCCTCCACTGTCCCAGGCCTACCACCCACTCAGATGGTAACCTACTTTATGAATGGGCAATACCAGAACTTCTACCCTCAAAGAATTCAACGTGGACATCGGGTTCATCCGGACCCGAGGAAGCCATGAGCCAGGAGTATCGTGACACTGTCTGCTCACGGCCCGCCCACCTGCCTGCCGCGAGATGTGGCGAGAGCTCACGGGAGCCACCACGTTGCCTACGGCGATGAGGGATCTGCGCTTCCCCAGCACTCGCATCCGCCACAAGCGCTGGCGGGAACTATACACGCGAGGAAAGAAAGTCAAGGCAAGATATCCCTTCCTGACCTCTTCATACTATCCTGCATGAGCCAAAGGCGACGCTGCAACCACGGGTACTTCTTCACTGAGAGCCCTCGGGGACTTCGGGAACGAATCGGTGGGGAGCGTCCTCGTTGCTCCCCTCATTACCCCTTAGCAGAAAGGATTGGGTGTCCGGACGGGAAGAACTAACCCACAACCTGCGTCCGAATCCATCGGCGGGACGATCTTGGTCGGCATGGGAATGCTCGATCCGCAGCGGGAACCAGCTGGCTCTCCACCCCACCCTGGATTTTGCCTTAGAACTCCATGATGTGATGCAGGCTGCGCCCACATCCCCCGATTCCCAGCGACGACACCGGCATCGGCGGCAGCCGCCCGGATGTCGGACGACTTTCTTGGCATGCACCTCCACATGGACGACCTGTGCCGGCGGCTCGATGGTATGAGCGTGAGACAAGAACAAGCATCCCGGAGGCGTGATCGGCTATTCCAAACGGTGGAGCAAGCTGTCCCAAAGGCAAGAGGCCTTTGACACCCGACTGGGGAGATGTACCAGTACCAACAAAGCATGCGCCAAGGCTGGGCGACTTTTCGGCGGAGGTACCAGGATGAAGTCCAAGAGATGGAGGACTTCGGATACCATATGTACCAGCATTACCCTCCCCAGGAATCAGGCCCAGAAGATAGCCCTTAGGGATAGTAGCTCCAAGAATAGGGTTGTAATAAAATTTTTCCAATAAATAAAATTTTACTTCATGCATCCTTTTTTGCCACCCTTCCCAAAAGTCAGCGTAACAAAAAGAAAACTAAGAGTAAAAGACATACGCTCAATAAAAAAGCCAAAATCCTAAGATCGCGAGAAAAAAGAGATGAAACCGCAAGAAAAAGGCAGGGTTAAGTCATCGCACCAACCAATAAAGTTTCGACCACCAAACAAAAGCCAAACAAAAACAAGATCCATCCAACCAACCAGCAAGGATTGGATGATCACTACCAAAAGAACAAAAACAAAGGACCCCCGGCAATCAGCAAAGGCCGATTGATCACCAACAAAATCCCCGGCATGGCCCGGATGACTATTCAAGAAATCAGAAAAGCAGTCAAATCTACACAAGCAGCACTCTCCAGAGAGCTGCGCTTGATCTGCGCCCGAGCCAGATCAGTAAGTCGCATTACCACCCTGATGGGGGGCTCATACCCATCCGGTCCCATACAACGGACCGTACCACCCTGATGGGGGGGTTCATACCCATCCGGTCCCGCACAACGGACTATACCACCCTGATAGGGGGTTCATACCCATCCAGTCCCACACAACGGACTGTACCACCCTGATGGGGGGTTCATACCCATCCAGTCCCACACAACGGGCTGTACCCACCGCCCTGATGGGGGGCTCGTACCCATCCAGTCCCGCACAACGGACTGCAACTACCAGCCTGATGGGGGGTTTATACTCATCAACCGAAGGATCGGCTACGTCAGGAGTAGTATCCGGAGGTTCCACCACGTGTCCATCGAAGGGATCGGCTACGTCAGAAGTAGTATCCTGGAAGTGCACGAGCACAAAAATCATTCCCCAGAGAGTCGGCGCATGAGCCACCCGAGCAGTAAGCCGCCACTACCACCAGTCCTACGCAGTGGACTGTACCAGCCAGATAGGGGGTTCATACCTATCGACCAGCACATAAGAGGCGCCTAACCGGCGCATGGGCCACCCGAGCTGTAAGCCGCCATTACCAGCCTGATGGGGGGTTCGTACCCATCCGGTCCCACACAACGGACTGCAACTACCAGCCTGATGGGGGGTTTATACTCATCAACCGAAGGATCGGCTACGTCAGAAGTTGTATCCGGAGGTTCTACCACGTGTTCACCAAAGGGATCGGCTACGTCAGAAGTAGTATCTCGGAGGCACGCGACCACAACATTTCCCAGAGGATCATCCGCCACAAGACGGGATATCCGAAGGGTAACCGGGCAAGAGGGTCAACTCCTTTACCTTCCTGTCAATCTGTCTGGCATAACAGGCCAACAGTTGACTAGTCAGGTAAAGGGGGGGCAGCTGTAGACCCCAAATCTTGCCCGGCCTCCAAATAAAGTCAGAAGGTCCCCTATTCGAAGACGGCCGGAGCCTAACAAGCCACTAGGAGAGACTATTAGGCTCCCATACCAAGATAGGAGGGTTTTTTGGCCCAAAATAAAGTTTCTCGCGTTGAAGGGGACTCCGGGTCAAGTCTCGCTCAGCGAGTACGTCCGTCGCTTGAGCGACAGGTGCCGCAAACAAAGGGGACTCCGGGTCAAGTCTCGCTCAAGCGACTGGTATACTCGCTTGAGCGACGGATGCTCCAACAAGACCGGGGTCTCGTTGACTACGAAAGCGAGACCGGGGTCTCGTTCACCCGAGCCGGGGTCTCGTTACCAGCAAAAACGAGACGGCGGTCTCGTTGTACGAGACGGCGGTCTCGTTGCTCATGTTAAACGAGACGGCGGTCTCGTTGCTTATGTTAAACGAGACGGCGGTCTCGTTGCTGTCAGACGAGACCGGCGGTCTCGCCACCTGACAGCGCGGAAACCTATAAATAGGGGCTCTCCCCCCCTCATTTGGACACACCACAGCTGCATAGCTCTCCCTTCTCTCTAAAACTTCTCTCTAGAATCCCTCCGACGCATTTCTGGAGTTTCTGAGTGTTTTCAAGAGTGATTTTCGGCGTTCGAGAGGTTTCCGACGTCTTGTAGAGTGAAGGGCTGCCATAAAGCACCCTATTTTTCCAAGAGAATTAATATAAAAAGAGTGCTTCGGAGGTTCAAATTCTCTCCTTCCACCTTTACCGCTTTTATTTTAAATTATGCAGTAAACATTAGGGCCATGTAGTCATACTTTTAAATTCCGCAGAATAAAAAGGGCGAAAGTGTATTTTTCTAGTTTATCAACAAAATAAGCCGGCCTATCATAGGGAACCCGAAAGGGGCGTCGTAAAGGGACTAATACTCCCTTTGCACGTAACCAACTCCCTTACCCAACTCTGGTTCTAATGACCAAAGTTGGTTTTCGAAAACCAACGCCTTTTTAAAACCCCTTTTCCGATGTTTATGGTAAAAATATCGGTGGCGACTCCATAGAACCCAAAATAAATAAGTCCTTGGGTTAGCCCGGTTGTCGGACAACTCAAGGACACTTTTCGAAAACCTCATCTTTAGGTTAGCCCGGTTATCGGACAACCTAAGGACGTTGTAACCACCAATAAAAACGCGAAAACAAGAGGGTCGATAAAACCATCGCGTCGCTCCGACCGCCTCGTTTTGACGGCGGCGACAGTGATCGATCAGATTTTAATTATGAGCGATCAGCACTGTTTTAATCGATTAAAAACGTGTTTCAATCGATTAAAACGAGTTTCAACGTCGGGTGTGGGTATAACCAACGTTGAAACCCCGTCTTTCCATTTGAATAGGCATCTCCCCTTATACTCTCCAGCATCGCGCCCTTACTCCAGCATCGCGCCCTTACTCCAGCATTCCGGCCTCCCTCAGTTTGGACTCTCCGGACGCCCTCCCTCACGTCGCCACCGCGCACCGCGTGACACCCCCGCTGCAGCACCTCCACCCCACTGCAGCTTCCACCCCACTGCCACGGTAGGCGCCGCACCGTCCACTGCAGACTCCAGCCGCACCGCAGGCTCAACCTCCACCCTACCACAGCCTCCACCTCCACCCCACCCCACCAGAACCTCCACCCCACGCCGCACTGCATCCTCCACCCCAGTGCAGCGCTGCTCTGTTTCTCTGTGGTGCGCACCTTCATCGCTGCCTTAACCCACAGGTACGATGTTTACTTACTACATTTCATAGGTAGAGATTCTTATTCAATTCTTAGTCATATTATAGTTTTTTTCAATGTATTGATGATGTTGAACTGCTTGAATATGTGTTTTGATTTTCCATTGCAACGAAAAGAAAAAATAGGCATATAGCTTTGCTCTTCACCTCAATATTTGACTGTGTTGACTATCTTGCTTTGGATGTTTTTCCATCTAAATGTAGAGTTTTTAGCCACTAGTTGACATCTTAGTTGAGTTGGAGGATAAAAAGATTGTTCAGATAAATAAGTTCAAATTCCTCGATAAGGCTACTGTAATAGTTGATCCTAGTGAGTTGAATGACCAAGGTATGGCTAGGAACGATTGGAGACTTTGTAGCTTGCAACAAGTAGAACATTTAAAATGCTTGTTGGGAATTCTACCAGTGTGGGTAACAGGAATTTGTTGTTTCATTGTGATGGACCAACAAAACACTTTTGGGGTGCTTCAAGTTGTTCAAACCAATAGATCCATTGGACTTCATTTTAAGGTCCCACCTGGATGGATGAATTTGACACCAATGATAGCACTTGCATTCTGGATATGCATTTATGAGTGTGTCTACATTCCCCTAATGAGAAGGATTAGTAAAAAGACTCCAAGATTGGACATAAGACAAAGAATTAGAATTGGGATTTTGTTTTCCATCATATGCATGTTGGTAGCAGCATTAGTAGAAAAGAAGCGTCGTGACTTAGCTTTGAAACATGGTTTGTATATTTCACCATTAAGCTTTGCATTCTTGCTACCTCAGTTTGCACTATCGGGTCTTAATGAGGCCTTTGTTGTTGTTGCTATAATGGAATTCTTTACCTTGCAAATGCCAGAGAGCATGAGGACGGTTGCTGGAGCAATCTTCTTTTTCAGTTTGTCTATTTCAAACTATTTAGGATCCTTGATTGTTAATATTGTCCACAAAATAACATCACACAATGGAAGAACACCATGGATAGGGGGTCATGATTTAAACCAAAATAGGCTTGACTATGAACTATGAACTAATTCCTGTGCTTACTTTAGAAATACCTTCAATATAAAATGTAGTCATTGAGTACAATGATGCTTTAATGCATATAATTAAAAT